TTCAACGTTTATTTATTTTTGGGACAGAGAGAGACAGAGCATGAACGGGGGAGGGGCAGAGAGAGAGGGAGACACAGAATCGGAAACAGGCTCCAGGCTCTGAGCCATCAGCCCAGAGCCTGACGCGGGGCTCGAACTCACGGACCGCGAGATTGTGACCTGGCTGAAGTCGGACGCTTAACCGACTGCGCCACCCAGGCGCCCCTCCTAGTATTTTCTTAAATCTTTGACCGGTCTGGGTTTTATTCTGAGAGTGAGAGAGGTATCGGGAACCAAAATCAGTTTTTTTGTTTTTTGTTTTTTCCAGTTGGTTGTCGCATCAGGATGCTTTGCTTGTAGAAAACAGAATGACTACAAGTAGCTTAAATAATAGGGGTTTCTTATCTTAGAGTCTTAGAGGTTGGTAGTTTCAGGCTTGATGAATTTGGGTTAACTTCTCCGTGATTTTCTTGGCTTTCCCTTTATGTTCACAAGGCGACTGTCCCCCCACATCGTCTTCTCAAACAGCCACCTCCCAAATAGGAAGGATGGAGACAGATTTCTCACTTTTCACTGGCTACCACTTGGTCACGTGATCACCTCCAAAGCGGTTGCGGGCAAAACAGTGACTATGACTGACGTAGACCAACCGAGGTCAGAACATACTGCACCTGATTCTTGAACAGGGTTTTAGATTTGTTGGCAAGAAAGAAAGGGGATGATGTGCCCAGAGCATCAAGTAACCAGGTCTGGCGTAGCTACCTAAGTATCTCAGTACCTTTTGTTAGATGACTCTTTCCCCCACTGCTAGGCAGTTACAGCCACAGCATGTATTCCGTTTGTTTATGGATTTAGGTTCATTTCCGGACTCTTCTGTTCCATCTATATGTTTACTCACGTACCAACATAACGCTGTTTTAATTACTGTAGCTTTTAAACATATTTTATTTTTAAAAAATTTTTTTCAACGTTTATTTATTTTTTTGGGACAGAGAGAGACAGAGCATGAACGGGGGAGGGGCAGAGAGAGAGGGAGACACAGAATCGGAAACAGGCTCCAGGCTCTGAGCCATCAGCCCAGAGCCTGACGCGGGGCTCGAACTCACGGACCGCGAGATTGTGACCTGGCTGAAGTCGGACGCTTAACCGACTGCGCCACCCAGGCGCCCCTCCTAGTATTTTCTTAAATCTTTGACCGGTCTGGGTTTTATTCTGAGAGTGAGAGAGGTATCGGGAACCAAAATCAGTTTTTTTGTTTTTTGTTTTTTCCAGTTGGTTGTCGCATCAGGATGCTTTGCTTGTAGAAAACAGAATGACTACAAGTAGCTTAAATAATAGGGGTTTCTTATCTTAGAGTCTTAGAGGTTGGTAGTTTCAGGCTTGATGAATTTGGGTTAACTTCTCCGTGATTTTCTTGGCTTTCCCTTTATGTTCACAAGGCGACTGTCCCCCCACATCGTCTTCTCAAACAGCCACCTCCCAAATAGGAAGGATGGAGACAGATTTCTCACTTTTCACTGGCTACCACTTGGTCACGTGATCACCTCCAAAGCGGTTGCGGGCAAAACAGTGACTATGACTGACGTAGACCAACCGAGGTCAGAACATACTGCACCTGATTCTTGAACAGGGTTTTAGATTTGTTGGCAAGAAAGAAAGGGGATGATGTGCCCAGAGCATCAAGTAACCAGGTCTGGCGTAGCTACCTAAGTATCTCAGTACCTTTTGTTAGATGACTCTTTCCCCCACTGCTAGGCAGTTACAGCCACAGCATGTATTCCGTTTGTTTATGGATTTAGGTTCATTTCCGGACTCTTCTGTTCCATCTATATGTTTACTCACGTACCAACATAACGCTGTTTTAATTACTGTAGCTTTTAAACATATTTTATTTTTAAAAAATTTTTTTTAACGTTTACTTATTTTTTTGGGACAGAGAGAGACAGAGCATGAACGAGGGAGGGGCAGAGAGAGAGGGAGACACAGAATCAGAAACAGGCTCCAGGCTCCGAGCCATCAGCCCAGAGCCCGACGCGGGGCTCGAACTCCCGGACCGCGAGATCGTGACCTGGCTGAAGTCGGACGCTTAACCGACTGCGCCACCCAGGCGCCCCTAAACATATTTTAATATCCAGTGCGGCTTGGACCTACTTAATACTCTTCTGTCTATGAATTTTCTGGGATCTTTTTGTTTTATAAATGAACTTTAGAATCACTTTGTCTAGGTACGACGATAATCCTGGTAGTTTGTTTTTTTGTTTTAATTGGGATTTTGTTACGTTTATGGATGAATTTAGGACGAATGGGGAAATCAACATCTGTACGAATCATCCTCTTTGTGACTAGGTTATGAAGGATTTGCTTTTTGGTATATTAGGAGTTTCTTTTGTATCAGGTAGGGATCTTTAAATGACCGAAAGAAACACGCTTCAGGCGAAACATGTGAATGATTTCTCTTTCTGCTTACCTGCAGTCTGTTTGGCTGAAAGACATAAACTGTTTTTTCATTACTAGCGGGGGTGATGATTCCCTGATAGTTCCGTGAACCCTTTCCCTGGTGCTGGGATTTGCCTCAAGATTGATATTTTCTTCTTTGCAAATACTTAGAAAATTATGAATTATTATTTGATCTTCCCCCATTAAATGCTCATTTCTTTAGGGCAAGAGTATGAGTTTTCTTGTTAATACTTGAGGTTTCGACCCCAGTGCATCTACTCCGGTTCAGTCGGTCAAAATTTGGCAATTTACATTCACTAAAGAGATCCTGTGCGTTTTATTTATTTATTTTTGTTTGTTTAAAAACGGTTTTTTACCCTATACATCATGTCGGTCATTTCATTTTTTCTTTTATACTCATCATGTCGAGAGTAACGGTATGTTAACCCGTAGATCACTTTAATTTGCAAACTTCTGGTCGTACTAATCACTAATGATTTTCAATGCTTTCTTTTTTTTTGTTGTTGTCGTCATGTTGTGTTTTATTTTTATTTGTTGTTTGTTTATCCCTTCACCATCTTCTTAAGTCTTCGTGCTTAAGTTATCTTCATGTAATTTTGGACGCCATTAGGTTTTGCTTCTCGGAAATTTTTCAGCCACGAAGAGTATGTCGTGTTTTCTCTGATTTTCTTTCTTCTTCTTCTTCTTCTTCTTTTTTTTTTTTTTTTTTTTTTGGTTCCATTATTTATGTTCCCATCCGTTTAAAACAGGCCACTGTGGAAGCTCTCGTGAGGGATAAGATGCCCAGAAAGGGCGGAAGGTGGTGGTTTTCATGGAGGGGAAGAAACACCACGATCAAAGAGGTAAGCACGGGCCACCAAAGGGTGCTTCTACTTAGCCCAGACGACTTTGGGTCTGTGGAGTGCGTTTTCATGCTCCAGATGGGAGCGGAATGTGCCCAAGGCGCAGTACTGGGTTTCTGGGAGCCAGCCCTGCCGAGAAGCAGCGAGAGGCCTCCCAGGGGGTGGGGGGAAGGGGCCGAGGAAGGGGAGGTGTGGCCAGAGAGCCTCGGTTCACCTCCTGGCCCTGCGACCTGGCTGGCGGGGGATACTGCGGGCAAGTCACTGCCCCTCTGGGATTTCTGCATCTGTGAAAAGAAGGGGTTCGGTCTGAGAGTTTACTTTTCTGTTTAAAGTTAAGCAGCCCTCTGCTGCTTGTGAGTCTCGTTTGAATGGGGTAACATTCCTCGTGCTAGACCGATTCCCGTTAGTCATGTCACTGAAAGGGCGTGTCTCAATAAAGCATGGCTTTCGTTTCCCTTTCTGTAGATGCCTATGCTTTCTTTCCAGCTCTCTGTCAACCTCTCAACCTATTTCTTGAAGGTTCCATGCCCCTGTGTCCACCCGACTTCCTTCCTCCTAAGGCTGTCCCCGCTCTGGCTCCACGACCGGAAGGGCAGCCGGCGAGGGGGGGGGGGCGGTCATCGAGGGTTGTCTTAGGGCCTCCTTTTCCCCGGGCAGCCCCACCCATGCCCGTGCGATGACTCCTCTTATTTGCAAATCAGGCATTGTTTTGTATTCCATGTTCACTTACCAAGTAGCCAACTACGTGGCTATTCCATGTGAATGTTTCGAGACACTTCAAAGCTGGTCATTTCGAAGACTGACCTCACAGCTTTCTTGTGAATTCTTCCTTTGCCGGACCCTGGTCGGAAAATGGTGCCGGTGTCCCTCCATAGGCTAGACCCTTCCTTTTTCCTCACGTCTCACATTTAATTCATCATCAGGTCCCATCAATTTCCATCTTAAATATTTCTCACATGTACCCACCTCGCTCCAGTTCCACCCCCACAAACGTAGGCTGGCGCCGTCCCTCCCAGGATTGCTTCTGGTGGTCGGCTGGTCTCTTCTCGCCCTCTCTTCTTCATCGTCTATACCGTAGGTGCATTGGTCGACTTAGGAGACTGGTCCAATTTATATTATTCCTTGCTGAAAACCTTCTGGGATCCCAGGTCTCTCCATGGTTGAGACCAATATTCTTAACATGGCTTACAACACTTGTATCCTAGCCCCTGCGTCCCTCTTTAAACTTTTTTTTGCCATTCTCCCCCTGCTTTCTCTACTGTAGCTTCACTGGCTGAACATACACTCTACCCCAGGACTTTTGCATATGCCATTTACACTGCCTGGTGTTCCTGGGACCCCTCTCACTCCCCTTCACTTAATTGACTAGTGTCTCAAAAAGCCCTTTCTTGGCAGACTAGTCTGGGCTGCTGCCTTCTGCTCTCATAGTCCTGCCTGTGAAATGTTGCCTTCATAAATTTTGTCAAGAGTTTGTAGTCATATTAGTGTGACTATTAACATCTCTTTCTCCTCTAAATCCTAAACTCCATGAAGGCGGAGACCCTGTCTGGCTCTGATCCCTGGGTATCCTGGGTGCCCACACTGGACTCAGAGCAGGGGTTTGGCAAATATTTGAGGGAATGCTGATATAGTGTATATAGTGTAGAGAAACCCCAAGGACAGTAGTCAAGTCGGTTGTTATAATACTAACAGAAACCTGAGTGATCTCAATTTGTTTATTCCATGAGTTCAAAGGGAAAAAGTCTGATGGAAGTTTTTATCAAGAGGAAATTGTTCTTTGACATTTTCTTTCAGCATACCTGAGTGGTAGTGATTATTCCGTTATCTCCAAGGGTATGAACAGATTAGGGCAAACATATACTTTACTTTAGGTGACTTAAAACATAAAGGGCCTTTCTAGTTCCCTTCCTAGGGGGTAGAATGTTCTAGAATTTAGGCAGAAGGCTGGTTGCTATTTCAAAGGCCTATTTATTGTAGATTATTCCCATTGGCACCAGTTTGAATTAAGGGGAATGCCAGCATGAAGGAAATCATGAAGTTGTGAAATTAAGTATTTCTTAAAAAAACTGAAATACATTTATTTCAGATAGTTAACGTATTTTTGAACTAGTCTAATAAAGGATTGTTGACAGTGGTGGCTATGTTACCTCAATAAATAGATTAAAAGTTACCGGGCATGTTATCACATCAATCTTATAAAGAGCTAACGAATATTTGGGTATAGTTCGTATTCATCCGATGTTACGATGGTCACCCTGATGTTTACGTTGCTCATTTTCTTATTAACACTGAAGCCACTAACCTACCTCCTGACCAGATGATTGCAAATAGTGGGATTCAACTGGACACCCGTTGCCCTGGGTCCTCCCATCTGATGACTTCCGTGACGTGTGTGGGGGCTGGTGGATGTCTTCTGGTCCCTTGCCTGCTGCAGGCCAGGCCCTGTGTGGGCACAGCATCTCTGTGGTCCTCACGGCAGTGTTAGGATGTAGATGTTATCACCCCCCCTTTTACCGGTGAGGAGACAAGGCTCTGGAAGCTTCCATGACTTGCCCCAGCTTCCCAAGCAAGAGAAGCAGAACTGAGCCCAGATCTCTTTAGAGTCCCAGAGCTCTTTCTGGTACATCGGAGGAGCATTTTCTATGAGGAGTGTGTGGTGTTGGGAAGGAGAGAAGCATTTTCCCAAGCAAAATGTGGTGTGAAAATATTTTCAAGCATTTCTATCAGCAATTATAAGAAAATATTTTGAAAATATTCGGGTATCCAAGCAGCCCTTGATAAAGCATTTGCATAAGCTCCGGCGATTATGAAGTTTGGTTTGGTGCCACCAGCACTTCTGGAAAACAGACTCATTTCTGTCAAACAGTTTTTCTCAGCTTCACTCAAGGCATCCAAGCAAAGCACTAATCAGCACCTGCCATGCGTGGGGCGCGTATCACTGGGGACGGCATTCGGGGCTCTGCCCTGGGCTCCGGGGAGCCCGTCGTGGCACACCGGCCCTTCTCTCTGGTACTCCCCTGACTCCTTCTCATCTCCTTCTCCAGGAAAGTAAGCCAGAGCAGTGCTTGGCTGGCAAGAGCCACAGCCCCGGGGAGCAGCCGTCACAGCTCGGCATGGCCACCAGGTACGGGGCGAGTTGGCGTGGGCCCTTGCGGCCCCTTTCTGTGTCCAAGGGCATGACGTGTGGCCGTTGGGGGCTGCTGGGGCTCACCGAGCATACAGGCCTGGGACCCAGGCGGACCGGGGTTGCAGCCGTGGGCGAATTGGAACAATGAACTGCGTTTCCCATGAATCAAATGGTGGCAGTGGTGCCCTTAGATACCTACCTTGCGAAGTGAACGTGAGACTCTGGGCACGTCCTGTAACTAGAGCCCTTCTCGTGGTCTCGGTGTTTGATGGCCCTGGATGTGCAGAAAACAGCAGTGGTGGTGATGATGGTGGCCAGCACCAGCGTTAACAGTAACGTGGAAATCAGTTTCCTTCGGAAGGAGATTGCTTTTCCCTATCATCTAAATACTTCCTGGCACTTTCGCTGATACTTTCCTAAGTACGGACAGGGGACAGGGGTTCGTGTTGGCAACTCACACGTACTGTGAATGTTCGCCATCAGGTTAATTTGTTCTTACGGGATTTGAGGGCAACTCTGATCTGAGGGCAGTGCCATCGTGCACCAGTTAGGATGTCAATAACGTACGTAGATAGCGAATGAGCCAACGCAACGCCCTTTACCCGTCACCTTACCTTTAGAATAATCCCGTGTTTAAGAAACTCAGGATTGCATTAGGAAGAAAAAAGCGAACAAACTAATGGAAGGCAAGACGCAGATCTTAATCATTTTTGTATCCTGGGGGCTAAGCTGATGCCTGACACGCAGCAGGCGTTTCATAAATGTTGCGGAGCTATTGCTGACTTGATAAGTTTTACCCACTATATTGCTGATTCATAGGAGAGGCAGGCTTAGATCTCAGTTTCTCAGCCTCCCGGTCGTCGCTCTGCATCGTAAACTATTTTGTTTCTAGAATTCGCTGTTGGAAATAGAAAATATAGGCGGAAGTAGGAAAAACTCCCCGGAAAGGAGAAGGCAGGTGTGCTCAAGGTGCAGCGCAGGCCGAGAACGTGCTGGCCTCTGAAGGGATAGAAGCCGGTGGACTTTCAGCGGGTCGTTGTTTACGCCTGCGAGTGGCCAGCCGCGGGCTGCGAACGGCAGACCTGGAGTCGGGCAGGCCTGGTTTGGGGTCCTGGCTTTGGGCAAACTGGTCTCCATATCCGAGCAAAGGGGAAGGTGTCGTGTCCAGAGCAGCGGGGGAGGCAGCCCGGGAGGCAGCATGGTGACAGGGGACACAGACGGAGTGCTGGCTCTCCTGCCTTGAGCATTTAAACCAGTGATTTAGCTCCACCAGAAACTTCCTGCTCTCCCGTTCTTTCGAAGAACCTTCTCTGTCCTAGCCATGGTTTCCGAACACGAGAGGCAGCGTGAGCAGGACGGAGAGCCGAGGCTGTGTTGGCCTGCCGTGCGATCCTTGGTGAATCGTCAGCCCCGCGGTGTCTCCTTTCCGTCTGTGAAATGGGGAGAATGATGCCAACCCCACATACATCGGCTCGTGCGGTTCCCTCCATGAGGAAGGAGGTCCAGAACGCAAACCCCACAGGGCCGCACGGCTGGGGGCGGGGGGTGCAGCTGTAGCAGGACAGTCGGGGGGTGGCTCTGGGGTGGGCCCGGCTAGAGGGTCCAAGGCGCAGAGCGTGACGACCGCGGGCAGTGTGGCATGCAGCAGCTCTGATACTGTTCCTCTCCGCTTCCCAGGGGCCGCGTGGAGGACCGGGGAGGGAGCTGGGGGGCACAGGGGGCCATGGGGGCCCGAGGGGGGCGCAGGGGGCCGGTGGGGGCTCAGGGGGCCGAGGGGGACCAAGGGCGATGAGCAGCGTGACCCTAGGGTGGCTCCTGCCCGCTAAGCCGGAGCCTCAGCTGGCGCGGTTTCTCAGAATCGTTGCAGGTTTTCTTACCGTCTGACACCGTCCTCTTTGGACGTTGCCGAAAATGCTGTTCGCGGCCAAACAGAACCCATTTAAGAGCCCGCAGCGCTCTGAGTTCATCACGCTACGCTCGTTTATTAACCCTGAAAAACGAAGTGCTGACTCTTGCGAGAAGGGATCGGGAGTTTGAAAGTTCGTTCGAGAAAGGGAAACGTCTTAATTTTGGCCGGCGTTCTTAGGCCTTCGGCCTCCCCGCTCGATTCGTGCCGTTGACTCAGAGAAGGCGTTGGCGCCTTGCCGTAATCGACAGACTTGATTGACAGAACAGGCCCCGAAGCCGCCTCATTGAGCAAGCTGCTTGTCACCATGCGAGTCGTGGAACTTCCGCTTGCAGAATGTACGTGGCGACGGGCGCTAACCCGGGTGTTGTTCACAGCTGCTCCGCGAACACAGACTCTCCAGCGGGCTGAGCCCTTTTGTGGCGTCGCTTCTGGCCGGCGCTGGGAAGCGGCCCTGCTCCCGGGCCCTTGTGAGCCCCAGCGGACTCTGGCGGGACCCCCGTTGCACGGGGTGGCGTCCTCGCCCCCGGCCGCTCTACCGGCAGCCAACTGTATAGCTGCGTTCCAGAGTCTGTGTCTGTTTTCCCTCCAGCACGGCCAGCCGCACAGATTTAGTGGGTTTTTTGCTGTTTGGTCGCAAAGCAGCACATGGAAACGAACGGTGATTCCGCCTCGTTCGTGTTTCCACACCCCACGGGCAGAGGCGCACATCAGCCTGGTGTCATGCGAGCTTTGCTTCGCATCTGGATCTCATTTCTCTCCAGGCTGCTGGGTTGGAGCGTAGACAGTCTCCGATTCAGCGAGGGGCCTGCAGCTCGTCTCTTTCTGGGTTGCCAGCTGGGTGCTCCGGGACTGTGCCCGACCCACCTGGAAATCTGCGGGCCGGTGGTTCAGAAGAACCAGCGTTGTTCACGGGACCCACAGGGGCCGGGACCGGAAAGGGCTGTTGTCAGAACATGTCACTTTACAGACGAGCCAGGGGCCCAGAGAGGGGATTCTCCAGTTGCGAGGCCTCATCGGGGCTCGTGTCTCCTGGGCCGTTTCTGTCTGTCTGTCATCTGCCTGCATCCTGAGTGTTTTGGTGGTGGTGGGGGGGGGGGGATGCTGTTTGTTCCTCTATATGTGGTGATGAGGACATCAGGACTGAAAGAAAACGAAGCGATTTGTGCAAACGGCCTGATTCCCATGGACTTCCAACACGGACTTCTCAGGTTCTAACCCCAGTGCCATCTGCACTTTACCTAGAAACCGGCCACAGATGTCACTTGGTTAGATTCATCTGCATGTAGCCCAGCCCTGCCGCGGACTAGCCTGGAGTCTAGCCTCCATGCTCTGTCCTTCTAAAATTTTTTTAAAGGTTTATTTACTTTTGAGAGAGAGAGAGAGAGAGA